AACAGTCCGATGAACTGGCTAATAGTTTTAAACCGTTAAACCATTGCATCAGACAAGAAATAACCAGGATTTGCAGTCTTTATATTGTTTTGTATATGTTATTAAATATTTTGTAAATAGTTTCATTTTTTTTTTTTTTTTTTTTTTTTTTGTAATAATTGCTCATATGTTGTTTTATTTAGTTTATTGAACAATAATACAATCTGCCACATTGAAGCTAACAAGTATTAAGGCTACAAGTGTTCATTCATACAATATATATAAACAAAAAAACAATCACTCATTCTTCTTCTCCTGCGTTCTTCCTTATATGATTAGGTCAGGAACTAAAATGAAGAATTCGTTAGTCCTCCTCAGGTCCTCCAGGCTTCCATATAGTTTCCTTTCCACTTCAGTTGCAGAGGACTAGATCACCCACACTTTGCTGGGAGTAGAACCTGCACGTTTGTAGGATATGTTCCACATTTTATACATCCTCACCGTACTCTCAGAGGGTACTAGAGCCAATTTTGAGCTTACTGAATAAGATGAGCTTTGAGTCTGTTGTGTCTTGTTCGTAAGCGAAAGATCAAGACCTGATCTCGTCGAGTTAGTCCGTAGATAGCATCTCTGGGATCGTGAAGTGGATGATTTCTGAGCCAACGTTGGGTAAAAATCGCTTTATTGATTATTTTTTCCTCGCCAAGGCTGATCTTACAATCAAATTGCGGACTCAAGGCCCCCTCCTTTTCCAGCTGGTCTGCCCTTTCGATTCTACAGAGTCCAGGAATCCATTGCACGACAACTTTTTTGTGAAAGTACATCATCAAGTCTTCAAGATCTTTGGAAAGTTTTCTCATGCTTTTGCTCCACTTCGACCTGAGTAATTGTAATACTGACGCTGCATCAGTAAGGAAGACAATTTTTGAGTTTTTAGGCCGATATAGTATTCTTGTCAGTTTCGATGCCTCACAGATAGCTTCTTGCTCTGCCCGATAATTCGAAGAAGTGATGCCCGTTGGAACAGCCTTCTCGATAATATTCCCCGCAGGAAATTGTAAATGGATTCCAGCCCCAACATTCGTTGTGCATTTGTGGTCCGTATATACTCGAATCCACGAGTTTTTCGGGTACTTAGTATTATACGTTTAAGCGATTTATTAAAGGAATTTAATTTTTATTTTGTTTTTCTTTCGATTTTTTTTAGCAATTATTTTTTTTTATCTTCTTTCATTTTGTGTATGATTTTAAATATTTTTACATAGTTTTATTTGTTTCATCTTGTATGTATTGTTAGTTTAATGGATTTATTTTTTATAAGTACAATCGCAGCATTTTTACAGTAAATATATATATATATATATATATATATATATATATATATATATATATTTTTTTTTTTAATTTAACTTTCTTTATTGAATATTAATACATTCTGCCACATTGAAGGGCATTAATATTAAGGCTACATGATTCATTCACACAATATGTACATACAATTAATATCAATAATAAAGAAAAAGTAATATTAAAAAAAATAAATTGGTATGCCTGTATACAAAAAAAAAAAAAAAAAAAATGAAATAATGGATAAAAGCTAGATGAAATTAAAGTAAATAAATCACATTCACACCTATGTACAATATTTACATTCACCCAGGGGACTCTGACTCATGCCTTATTCCCCGACGTGGAAGCCAAGGCAGGACTCCAAGGAGATCCCAGTGCTTCTCTCTCAGCCGCGTCACTGTTATTTGAAACCAGAAATATAAATTAATGAAATAAAATAGAAGCAAAATGACAAAAATTAAAATTTGATGAAAGTTAAACCATATCTCAACTTTTGATACATTTTATTAACCCCTTTTTTTTAGAAGAAATAAGGCCTGGAAAATCAGTCAAGGTTTGAGAATGTTACATAACTGTTGTCCCCAAAGGTTTATAAGAATTATGTAATTATAAAACTATGAGGCAAGAACTATAATATTATTTATTTCGATTATTTCGCGACCGTGTTGGAATAAGATGGCATATATATGGGCGTTAGGATGAGGCAATATTTGCCACCGCAGGCGGTTAAGGGTTGGCTGTTGGTAGCCGGTGTAGAAAATGAAAGATATTGACAATGTTTTATCGAGCTGTTCCAACTGGGATTATTAGAGGGGTTCCAGTCCCCCTACTGAAATAATTTACGTAAACCCTGTGTAGAGGTATCGTAAAGTATGTTATTACCGTTTTACTTCTGAGTAACCGTTCCTTCGATATAACGGATATTTGCAATAAATTTATTAAAAGGAAACAACTATTTATTAAAAGAAATAACCAAACCATAAAATTCCTATCATATCCAATCCATACAATCCAAAATCCTCAATGCTCATTACTTTAGCACAAATAAAATAAATCCATAATTACCTTAATGTTTCTTATTTGCTTGGTGTATATTGATGTAGCTCAATCCAGATACCCTTCCTTCCATAATAAACTCACTATTTTCTAACCTTCCATCCTCTTATGTTCCTGACAATCCTCCTTAATAATGACCAATTTATTGGTTCAACACTTCAATCACATGTTACAAACCTCAAAGAAAGGTGTCAAAATAGGTGGATAAAAATAAATTCCAATGAATTTATCTATTTTTATCTTATTATTAATATTTTCTTTCCTCATTATGATATTTTATTTTGTTCTTATTTCGCTGTATATTATTTTCAAATAAACTTATTTATTTTTTGATTTTGTAAATATGTTGTGAATGTGATCTCTGAACTCTATTATAAGCGTCCTTAATTGAGACAGATTGTAATATTTATCAATAAACAAGTGATCTATTATTTTTAGTAATCAATTATGTAAAAAAACAAGTAAACCCAAATACAAAATTTTGACATGATCTTAAATGAGATACCATGTAAGTGCATCATTAGACTTTAAATAAATTAACAACAAGTCCTGGACTAACTTTGTTTTTGCTTCAAAGATAATATACGCTCATTAACATTGGTGCCAAAAACAAGGTCTAAGTCCGGACTTGACCTGGTTTTTGCGACGACGGACGGATAACAGAGTTTCCATTGTCCGATGATCTAGTCATTTACTCACTATTCATAACACAGGAAAGGACTGTGTTACATTTATACCTGCTGAAATGAGCACTATGATTCATAGACGAAAATTAATTTTTTGTATTAAAAAATGTTGATGTTACCTGGTTGTTGCATCAAAGCCATGTTGAGGTCGCGTATCAATTTCATCAAATTCCATCCAATACTTTCGATTACGAACGAGTAAATGTATTTTTTTAGAGACGCCTATGTTTCAGAAATTTTGGAATTGGCGGCATAATTATGTCATATCAAGTTTGTGTGCAAACGTATTTTCCTTGATACGCCTAAAACTGCAAAGTTCAATTTGGCTCAAATTTTAGAGGGAAGTTGGAGTTGGAGGAAGTTGGAGGCAAACAAGTGACCAAGAATAAATTTTTATAAAATTCCTTCCAATACTTTAAAAAATAATTCCATCGTGTTATAATTTCCATCGTTTTTTATTATTATTATTATTATTATTTTTTTTTTTTTTTTTTGTTGAATAACCAGAATACGATCTATAAGATACGAACAATGGAGATATATCACAACGTATAGATGATTTCTCCCGCACCCTCCAGTCAGCACTTGACAAATGTGACAGGAGATAAAACTATTACTTTCTATGTTTAAGGAAACCATCTCCGAAAGCGATTGCCGCTTCTTCCGATAGATCAACCCCCTCTAGAATAAATAAGCTCCGTTTTTTTGAAAAATTACTTTTTCGACAAGTCTCATCTGATGGGAAAACACAGCGTCAATTCGTGACTCAGGAGTGATCAATGTCCAGCCCAAGATGAATCATATTCTTGAGATTGTTTATGTTTCCTTGCCTCTTTTGTTGAGAGCAGTTGTTGATAACGAGTTAGATGCAACATTTATCCAATGGAATACTTTTCGTCAACTCGTAACCCGCACCTCGACGTGAGTAGATATAATGTATATATTTTTATTGAGTAGTTGTTTTTTTTTTTAATTTACTTAGATTTCAGTTATTTTATTTAATTTATTGTATATATGTATTTTACTTCTTGATACAGTTGTAAATATCATAAATAAATAAATTCAAAAAAATTATTGTATATAATTTTTTTTATTATTACTTCTGTTTATTTTATATTTTTTCGTACATATGGTGTGAATGTGATATTACCTACCTATAACCATTGTCCAAGTGACAGAATGTTATATTGTTCAATAAATAAATAAATAATAATGTTAACAAAAATAGAGTAGTTATGTAAGAGTTATTACGGTTGTTTACCACGAATATATTTAGGCATGCTAAGGAGACAAATCTTATTTAATAATATTTGTCTGAATGGTTAACAGGCATAACGTTTAATCAAAGATTCATTTTTTATTACGGATTTCTTCTTTATTTTTTTTTCCTAAGAATTAGGATGTATTGTAGTACTGGAAGATATAAGTGGAGGGAGGGGGTACGTGCTGAAGCCCTCTCCAAAAATGGAAAAGAAAAAAATTTCATTGGTCCATATTTGCTATAGCGGGTAATCGAAAATAAATATTTAAGATATGACTGTAAATTGAAAAAAAAAAAATATATTAGACTTGAAAATGGCTCGACGAACCAAAATGTCGTAGTAGGATTTAGAAGTGAAAACATTGGTGCAATGCTGGTTTATATAAAAAAATATAAACTGAACGAATAATGGCTTATTGTAGGGTCTGAATTTCTTTGTGATAAAAAAGAATCCATTCGTGAATGGTATACAAAAACAACTTTATAAAATAAAATCTAAAGTAATATTGAAACATGATTTTTCACTCCTTGTTTGATCATATTTTGAAATATTACACCATAATTATACGACACTCATTGTTTTATATGTTTTCATTTATAATAATAATTATAGTTATTGTGTTTTCCCAAAGGGTTCGAGTTAATTAACTGAATACATGAGGCATGACCTATGGTCAGTCCCTGCCTCGCCCTTAGAGCAGATTGCTTGATGGTTAATCCGTCATAAATCGTGAGCCACCGCACATCCGTCTTCTTGATCCACCGGATGGGTCCGGTTCCGGATCTCCCTTTGCCCATCTCAGGATTGTCCATCCACAATTCAGTCCAAGCCCAAACAACATCCGATTTCTCGCCTTGCGATGTTTATGAGAATATATATATATAAATAGTATATATATATATATATATATATATATATATATATAATATATATATATATATATATATATATATATATATATGTACAAGTTTCTATTTACCAACGATCAAATTTGTGAGGACACATAGAATAAAACATTTTTTTATTTTGAAGTTAAAACTTTTTTAAGCGCCCTCATCACTTAACGTTGCGGCTAATGAATGGGGCTTAGCCATAACTATCGGCTATGTAACGCTCATTTGGATAAAGTCGGCTCGAATCGAATATTATTTTATTTGGATTAAAATGTCTCAGAAACTAACCCAGTCAAATTGTCACAAAAAAAAGAGGTCTTTCTTTTAAAATGTCGTGTATTTCAAATTTCTTTTTTATATTGTTAGATACGTAGTGAATATAAAAAATAAAAGTTTCCTCCTTTTAAAGCATTGTTGGTTCGCTGCAGTGATCAAAAACCATTAAAATTTCTCACATTGTTTGGTTTACGCTAAATATCTCATCTTGAAAGCAACATAGATAAAAAAATAATCATATTCAATCTTAAATAGCTTAAAATTATCTAATATTTTTGTACATAAAATTTCTTTCTAAACCCAACAGTGAGTGAACTATCGAGCTTTCAAAATGTGTAAAATTTTTAAAATTACTCCAAAAATATGCATAATTTATTGTTTTTAATTAATTATCTGTTTTTATAGGTGAGGTAGCTTAAATTTTTAAATTAAATATTAAACGCCACACAATTTTCTGTTGCTTTTATTAGAAACATATTTCTCTAAACTTAAAACTTAAATACAAATCGCTAAAAATAAATTAATGTTTTGGAATTCGAAAAAAAATCTTTTAATTTTATTTTTACTCTTTTCCACTAATTTTAATGAAATTATTCATCAATAATTACTTTCTTTCTTGTTACTTTTAAATGAACTTTATTCTAACACATTTTTTAATAATTAATATTATCCAAATTACATACCATTCTTTGTGTTCCTACGGATTTTTTTCATCTGAAGACTGTCCGATTTCTTCACAAAAAATTGTTTTGGACAATTAAATAATGGTATTAGTATTTGTTCGTTTATGACTTCTGACTGATGTGGCTGACTGATGTCTATGCCAGTTCCGCTTTTTCGTCGATTAAATGTATTTTGTACGTAACTGCTTCGAATATTTTAAAAACTAATCAGTGTTTTAGAAAGAAAAATATATTCCCCAGATGTTTTATTTCAAAGCGTTTTACGTTATTGTTGGCCGTTTATTTACAAACGACGCTTGATTTTCAACTTTAGTTTGAACGACTTGAAAACATCAACTTTACTGCAGCGAACCCACAAGGCATTGAAGGACGAAACTTGGACTTTTTACCTTCACTACACACCCCGCAATGTAAAAAAAAAAATTTGAATTACCCCACCTTTTGCAAGGAAACATGTCTAATTTGACTGGACTATACTGTAAGTGAGGAAAATTTTCAGCATTTCATCGAGCATTGTAATGAGCTATTATTCAAAATTGTATCTTGACGTTACGATGTGTTAGAGGCAAATAGGGAAAAAGATAGTTTCATAGACCAAATGACAACAATCTTTTATTTTAATATTTGGATTGAAATGTCTCGAGAACTAAAATTCGGACCTGCATGGTATTAGCGAAGGAAATTTACAGCTGCTTTCTGTCCGATGCATTGATATTTTATTCGATACAAAAAATCTATATCTTTATTAAAACTTCAAAGTTTTTCGGAAAAAATAGTTGGTTTATAGAGATTTTCAATTTATTGTAGTTCGATTCACCAGCGGATCCAGGATTTTAGTTTTGGGGAGGGGGCTTCAGACAGAAAGATTTTTTAAAAAAATATATAACGATAATTGCTTAGGAAGGAAAAGAAAGGAACTAACCACCTATATTAAATAGAGATTAAGTGATTCTTAATTACTATTAAATGTAATTACACGATCAATAATACTTTTAGAGGTAATTATTAAATACTTTTTTCATAAGATATGGATATATTTTACCATTCCTTTTTTTTTTTTGGCGGGTGGGGATTCAGCCTCAAAACGATCAAATTATTAACATCCCTCTAAAACTTGGTGAATGGCTTCATCATTTCGTAATCAACAACTTCTATAACAAATTTATTAAATCAATTAATTTAATGAGGTACTAAATAATTAATATCTATATACCTTCCACTTGAATGGTAAGATAATTTGATCAAAAATTCGAAAAAAATGGTGACCTACAAAAATATTTGGCCCTTTGGCCAATTACCGATCTCTAGATTGAAAACACCGCATTCCGAGAATTTTCATAAATAAAAAAGTCGTATATTATGACAAGACGAATGCATTCACGAAGTTGTAGACAGGTGTTAATAATTTGATAAAATGTTTCTGTACCACGGAATATAATGTTATAAGAGAATCGAAAACAATATTTTAATTAAAAGCGCCTCCTGTGGTTTATTTACGATTTTTTTTTTCCTCAATAATTAAAATATTTCTAAAGAATCATTTAACATACCATATTTCTTCCTGTTTCTATTCTCCCAAGGAATTCCCTATTAGACTTTAATGCAAATATCAAATAAACATAGATTTTTAAAGATATTGTTATCTCAAATCTCGGGCGCTAGGTTTTAAAAATACATCGATGTATTTTTGCTATCCCTAGCAACAGCTAATATTAGCTCGGGATTCATCAAGAAAGCATACGGGATACATTGTTGTTGTTTTTTTCTCTACAAATATTGAACGAATCTTTAACCCCAGTTTCGAAAACTTAAGGGTGATAGTAATATTAAACAGAGTTAATAATGCTAATATTAAATAAATCTTTTCATCTTATAATATTTTATTAATATGTTTATTTATTTATAAATGTTTTGGGCTCTTCAACCACCTGGATCATTTTCGCCCTATATTACAATTCGATCAATTACCACACACATAACAAAACTACAGCTAACAACAAATACAATTTAAAGTTTAAAAAGTTTTGAATGAATATTATAGTACAATTGAATTAAAGTTATAAACATTGAAAGTTAAAGATTTAAAAGGAGATGAGTTAACAGAGATAATAAAAATAAAGGTTAATGATTTTAAGAACAAGAGCTAAAAAATACATTTTTAAATAATTTTTTTTTTTTGTTCATTTAATGAAATTCACAACTGTATACAAATACAACTAGTAAATATGCGCAAATTATAAAGAATGGCATGTACAGGCATGAAGAGATAATACCCGGTGGTAGCACGCTCTAAATAATTTTAAGTAAAAAGATCACGAGGCCATCTCCTTTTCAGACGCCTAGGAGGATTATCAGGGATCGAGGAAGAAGCAAGAGTGGAAACAAGCGGATTTGGATGGGACTGAAGTTTATCATGAAAGGATAGATATCTGGCTCGAGCTAAATCAGCGACATATTAAGGTCTTTATGAATGGTTTTATTTGTGACAAAGTATGGAGCATTAAGGATTTTACGGAGGATTTTGGATTGTAAGGATTGGATACGATAGGAATTCGATGGTTTGGTGGAGCCCCAAAATTTTAAATAATAAAAATTAATATTAATAGAAGCGAAGTTAAAGAGTACAGAGTAAACATTAAAAAGTACGAGAACCGTTAAAATTAAATTTTAAAGATTAGAAAAAGATAAGTTAACAGTTAACAAGGACATTTAAAAAAAAAGGTTAATGATTTCAGGAATATTATCTTAAAATACGGTTTAAAAATAAAATTGATATTAAAAGAAGAAAAGTTAAAAAGTACAATTTAAATATTAAAAATTACGAAGAAAAATTTAAAAACCACTATAATTAAAAATTAAAAGAAGAAAAAATAACAGGTATATTTACAATTTGAAGAGGAACCTACAAACTTAAAAAACTTAACAGGTATATGTACAATTACAAGATGTCAATTAATTTTGTGTAATATTTTGATTTCCTTAAGGTACAATATTAAGTTTTTAATAGCATTTGGGTCCTTTAGCAGTGATTCTTCGAGCATTTCTGAAAAGATATTGATCCCTAAGAATTAAATTATTAATATATAATTTTTGCTTTCATTTTTTTTTTTTTTTTTTAATCGTGAAAATACGACATGTTTTGTTTTAGAAATAACCGATTCATTTAGAGGAGGGACTACTATTTAGTGAGTACTCAAAGTCTTGTAACGCGATACCTCTGTTCTATTCGAGTTTACCCAAACGATACCACGTGTTTCACACTCGAATGATATCCTATGAATGGATCTAGTATAACAGGAACAAATAAATCAGTGGCACACCTGAATAGGGGCCGATGAGGACAGGCAAACTGATTGAAGAAAGGGCGTTGCGGCTTCAACAAAAGGAACTTGATTGATGCTAAATGATTGACGTCAGGGCATCGGAAGTTGCGTGTCGATCGCTAACGAAGCTCAATAAATGGCGCCCGATAGAGCAGAAACCATGGAACTCGCCCTGAATAAAATCCAACTTGGCCTAAGGTGTAATCCGATTAGGCAGCTCGAGCTCGAAGTGGATGCGAGGCGTTGGAAAAATGGATCGCTTAGCAGTTGTTCCACTCATTATTAATTCAGCGTGGTAACGATTGTCGTGGTTTCCAACTCCGAACAAATGATTCCCTCCTTTAACTAATAAATTATATACAACATTGGAGCAACAGTCCCTCCCTTTTGATTTCATGTCATTAAATCTAATTATTGATCATTTGACTTATTCCTCTTCTCGAATCATTTCTCAAAGTAAACGGTCTTACTTTACATAACCAGGCGGTCATAACTAATTTCGTTAGTTTCTGAAGATGTTAATGAAATCATTTGACTAATAACACGGGCACTCAAGAAATTAAAATTCACTTTCAAGTGCTACTCAATTTTCTCCATGGCATTAGATTAAAGGATGCACTTC